AATATAATATACAAGTTTCACTTTTTAAATGGAATTACTGAAATCAATCTACTTTTTCATGATATTCTAATTTTATGACCAGCACCTGTAATTGTTTGAAATATTTTCTGAAATTTAATTATCTATTATTATTATTTTTTATTGTCTGAAATAAATTATTTTCATTCATTCATATTACTATATTCTACAACCACTGATTTTCACAGGGCAGGGAGGGGCTGCTGTTCAGATAGCAGAACTGTGAGGATTATTCAGAGATGCATGAATCAAGTGAAATACCACTCTGCATGAAATTGATCAAGGAATATTATTATAATGTTGTTAAAAGCTCGAAAAAGTTGAGTTTGCTTGATATAGGTCCTTTAAATGTGTTTTTATCTAAATTAATGAGTCAGATTTGGAGTTAAAAGAATTGAATCCATACATGAAGTTATCGAAGTCTGTACATACAAGCCCATTTGCTTTTTTTTCTGCTGGTTTGCTTAATTCACATGATCCTTGAACATGACAACCCAAAGCCTTCAATAACCAGGTTTTTTCTGGAACCTGTGTAACAGCTGCAGAGGTTTTAAGCAGATATGGAAAGCACCAAGCAAATGGAAAATGTTAAACCCACTGTTGCAGTGGATGAGTGGTTGGTTAATACACCTCAGAGAATGATTCGTTTGGGGTTCTATTTTTATTTATTTATTAATTTTTTTTTTGCAAACCTGCAACATATAATCTCCTTAGAGGCCTGCAGAGGGTTCATTACAAAACCTTCCATCAAATAGGATGGGATTTATTTATTAGCAAGTCTAGATTATTAGTGGATTTTTTTCTGTTAATTTAAAACATGTAACATTTTGTAAGATGCAGAGCAATTTTAATGTATATTCATGTTTTAATACTCTTCAATCAAGATGTCTAGCTGCGCCTTGTAGAAGCTGTTGCCAAGACACATCCAGTCCTGTTCGTGTTTCTCACCGTGGCGCCAGTCAAAGGGAACTGTTTCGATCTTCAGCTTTTAAAGCCAAAGTTAAGACAGAAGAACATTCTAACTTGGGAAATGTCCAACACTAGTGAATTCTCTGATATGCTCCAAGTGTGTTGTCGTATCAAAGTGTTAAAAGAGCAATGATACATGTGCACCATTGTATCATACAGATCAGATAATGTAATTTGAAGGGACTTGTGTAATTAACAAACATCAAGAATTGCTAAAAGTAGAATGGGAGGCAAATATTTTAATGATCAGGCTCCTCTCGTGTGGAAAGCTGCTTGTTACAGTTGCCTTTTGTATCTCTGCTTCTGTCTCCTTGAACCCCAGTCAGCTTCAGCAGATGGAGCCTGGTTCTGCTGGAGGTTTCTTCCTGTTAAAAGGGAGTTTTTCCTCTCCACTGTCGCCTCAAGCATGCTTAGTGTGAGGGATTTTATTCGAGTCAATGAGTCGATGCAATCAACTGGTTTTCCTTAGATAGAAAACTTTGAATCAATCTGACTGTATGATCTGGTGAACTGGAAAGTGCCTTGAGACGACATGTGTTGTGAATTGGCGCCATATAAATAAACTGAATTAAATTGAAGAAGTCCATAAAGGCAGAATTAAAATGGTTTACTAAACAGTGTAAACTATATAGAACCTTCCTTTTAGTTACAGCTATGAGGCTTATAAAGGCGTGTT